AAAAGAGGATTTTTAAATATGTGAGACTCATCAACATTAAAATGTGCATAAGTGAAATGTTACAATATTTAGTAAAAAATTCAGATTATTGACTCAGTTGTTTTCATGAAATTTTTTATCAAAGCAATATCACTGTTATATAATTAATAAGATTCCATGTTTTATTTTATACTCTTGACAACAGAATATATCTTCCCTCTGGCCTCAAGTGTTTCCCTTTTATTTTGTATGAGTGTAATTTACAGAAAGCTCACTTTGCTTTTGGCGAATTCAAGTTTTGCCTTAACAGAATTATTGGACCTTATTCATGGAAAATTAGACATTTACCCATATGTTGTAGAAGAACTCAATTTTGCTTTAACACTTTTTCAAGAAATTGTATCACAAGGCTAGATTTGATCAAATAATCTCACTTTTGAATATTTATCACATATCACATACTTAAATAATCTAGAATGCTTAGATTGATTTCCTTCACTTTTGCCCTGTTGTTGAGATTGAGTGAAATAATTTAATTATTTTATCCCTATCAATTTGGGGTGGGGATCTGTGTCCCATCGGGACCGGCATTCAAAATTGCATAACTATATCCTATCACAAGTTATGATACAGTCAACCATATAACATAGCCCCTGCCACTGAAAGGAGAAAAGAGGTGCACAACATACAAAATAAATGTGGATAGTGTCCACATGTAGACACAGATGATGCCCCCGCTTGCATATCATATAGTTATAAAAGGACATAACTGAAGAATGGTAAAAGTGATGCTACCCAAATTTGAACTTGATCTGAGTTTTGTGGTAATAAGTATTGTGTGTAAGTCTCTTAACATTTGGTTGAGGCTAACTTAAGTAGAGAACAGAAACTAAAAATTCAGCAATTTTTCTATTTGTAAACACGCATAACTTTAGAACAGTTGTGTATAAGTTTCATAACATTTGGTTGAGACAAACTAAAGTTAGAGAACGGAAACGAAAAATTCTGCAATTTTTATGTTTATAAAGGGACATAACTCAAGAATGGTAAAAGTGTCGCCACCAAATTTCGTATTTAATCTGTATTATGTAGTAATAAGCATTGTGTATAAGTAACATTTGGTTGAGGCAAACTAAAGTTAGAAAACGGAAACAAAAAATTTGTACTTGATCTTAGTTTTGTGGTAATGAATATTGTGTATAGGTTTCATAATGTTTGGTTGGGGCAAACTTAAGTTACAGAATGGAAACTAAAAACTTTGCAATCTTTCGATTTATAAAGGGGCATAACTCAAAAATGGTTAAAGTGACACTACCCAAATTCAACTTGATCTGTGTTTTATCAGTGGAAGTCAAAATTAAACATTGCATTGTATAAAGCATTGATTGTAGTTGATTCAACTGTAATCATGGACAAAGGAAGATAACTCCAATTTTAAAAATTACTTGATATTTAGAAGAAAATAAAAATTTTGCAATTTTTCCATTTATAAAGGGGCATAACTCTAGAACGGTAAAAGTGACGCCACCAAAATTCAAACTTGATCTGTGTTTTGTGGTAATTAGCATTGTGTATAAGTTTCATAACATTTGGTTGAGGCAAACTAAAGTAAGAGAACGGAAACGAAAAATTCAGCAATTTTTCCCTGTGTAAAGGGGCATAACTCTAGAACGGTTAAAGTGATGCCACCAAAATTCAACCTTGATCTGTGTTTTGTGGTAATTAGCATTGTGTATATGTTTCATAACATTTGGATGAGGCAAACTAAAATTAGAAAACAGAAACGAAAAATTCAGCAATTTTTCCATTTGTAGAGGGGCATAACTCTAGAACGGTAAAAGTGACGCCACCTAAATTCAAACTTGATCTGTGTTTTGTGGTTATGAGCATTGTGCATAAGTTTCATAACATTTGGTTGAGGCAAACTAAAGTTAGAGAACGGAAACGAAAAATTCAGCAATTTTTCAATTTGTAAAGGGACATAACTCTAGAACGGTATAAGTGACGCCACCTAAATTTAAACTTGATCTGTGTTTTGTGGTAATAAGCATTGTGTATAAGTTTCATAACATTTGGTTGAGGCAAACTAAAGTTAGAGAACGGAAACGATAAATTCAGCATTTTTTTTCATTTGTAGAGGGGCATAACTCTAGAACGGTAAAAGTGACGCCGCCAAAATTCAAACTTGATCTGTGTTTTGTGGTAATAAGCATTGTGTATAAGTTTCATAACATTTGGTTGAGGCAAACTAAAGTTAGAGAACGGAAACGAAAAATTCAGCACTTTTTCAATTTGTAAAGGGGCATAACTCTAGAACGGTAAAAGTGACGCCACCAAAATTCAAACTTGATCTGTGTTTTGTGGTAATAAGCATTGTGTATAAGTTTCATAATATTTGGTTGAGGCAAACTAAAGTTAGAGGACAGAAACCAATTTTGGGACGTACGTACGTACAGACGGACAAGGGTAAAACTTAATGCCCCCTCCGCTACAGCGGGGGCATAAAAATATTTCATATGGCTAGCTACATTGTATCCTTTGAATATTTCATTGATATTTTGTATGTGTAATTTTTTTTTGTAAGTAGTTATTTATTAAAGGTAATACAGTTCCCTTTCAGTTTGCCTGCTTAAGACTTGATTACAGTTCCAATTTAAAAATAAGAAGTTGGGGTATGATTGCCAATGAGACAACTCTCCACCAGATACCTTATGACGAAAAGGTTCATAAATATATGTATAGATCTCTGACAGCTTTCATCAATGAGCAGAACCAATAACGCATAGTAAGCTACATGTATAAAAGGCCCCTAAATAACATGACATAATACAGGCTGAAAATGAATATTCTGCATCAGTGAGTATGCAAAAGTGAAAATATATTTAGAAAGAAAAGCATGTGTAGCAATGGATGCAAATAAAAAGTCAATCCAGAAAAAAAATCCTACTACCTCACACGTTATGGCTTATGCAGTTTATTCACTAAATTGTCAACAAACTTTTACATACTTCATTCAACTAATTTACATTAAACCTGGGAACAGTATATCTGTCAATATATATGTTCGTGATTAAAGAAGACAAAATAAAAGAAAAGAACAGGGTGAAAGGACCCAGAGCGAACAAGTACTAGTGCGAACAGACCAGGATTCCCTACCCACCACCTACCTAGAATAGCAAATGGTCCTCCCCCTATGCATAGATATATTAATACTAGTCTAATAGTCATTATACATGTTACATGTATATCAATGCCCTAAGAAACTGCACATTGAATTTTTAAAAAGTAAAGTCATGAAGAGTTTAAACCAACACTGCAAACCAGAAATTAAGAATCATGAGCCCCTAAAAATGACACATGCCTTTGACAAAATTACCCCCCCCCCCCTTTTTCAAAAAAGAAACAAAACAAAACACATAACGATAACTGTATTAACGAATGGAAACTTATGGAAAAAAAAAACAATAGCTTTTCTATGGCCTATTCAGATTAGATGTTCATTAAAAACTCATCGGCCGGTAACATACTAACAATATTCACGAAATAAATATGGATCAACGAAGTACGATATCAACAAATCAATCCCATGATGATGTAGGCCTAAAACTGTTAGTTTACCAAGCTCGGCCTGTTTTGGTATAACGTTGATATGAATTCAACATATCGCATGACTTCCTTGGCATTCAGATAAACAAAATTGCTACAAAGAAGTAAAGAATCCAACATTTAATGACATTTACTTTGACATTTTCGGCGACGGAAATTGACAACGTTGGTCTATATACTGACACAACATCGGTTGAGGTCGATTCCGGCAATTCTGCTTCAAAAAGTTCTAGCAGCTAAAGAATTTATTGATGTCTTCAAATATATTTGTTATTATGTTTCAATAAATTCTAGTGGATAATTATTTTTGAGAGTAGAATAGCTATCGTGTACTTCAGAAACAAGGTTTAGGGAGGACCCCGCCCCCATAGTGGGAACCTGAGACTAATATATGTGTTATAGTAGTCTCAGTGGGAACATACAAAATAAAGATGACCGTTCTCCATTTCTACTCGATAGAATTGCCTAATTTTTTCATAACATATACATTATGTACCAAAGATAATTATATGAAAGTATAAAAAAAATCGAGGCGGAGGTTTTTTAGAAACAGCTAATAGTTATAGCAGACCAATTGACGTAATAGAAAAAAAGACGAAAATGGCGCCTTCTTCAATTTCGAAAAAAATCGATTATTTTACAATTTATTGACACATATTGTTATTTTTAAAGGGGTTTTATATCTATTAATTCACTTTTCCATGAGAATTGAGTTAATATTTACTTTAAAAACAGAAACTCTTCCAATTTCTAAATCTACCAACCGTGCAAGGAAAAACCTATAAAAATTTGAGACCCCTACTTTAAAATGGGAACAATTTTTTGCCCTGGCTTGAACACTCATGTTCGTTACTAATTTTTATGCCAAAAACTAGCGAGAATATGATGTAAAAATTTTTAGAAAAAAGAAGGATAGGTATTATTTTGTTCCCATTTTTAATATAGCCATTTTATCCAACAGTGCAGAAAATCAATATCCGAAATTCTATGTTCAGATATAAAAAAATGAGATTTCCTTTTATTTTAATGTTCAAAAATGAAAATAATATGTAAATTCATATATTTTTTTCATATAGATTTGCTTACAATCTACAGTATTTATCGTCGGTACTTTGCCGCAAATGAATGAAAAAAAATATACTAAAGCGCGCCATTTTTCAGTTGACATCGGCCGATGCAAAATAGTCCATTTTCGGCGTAGGACTACTGAGCGCCGCTGAATCACATTTTGGCCAAAAAGGCACATCCGGTTGTCCTACTGAACACAGTTAAATAATAACAATCTTTTAAATGTGAAAGATCATTAATATGTATCAGTCAGAAAAAAGCTTTTTTTGATACCCTTACATATCTTGTGATCTCTCTTGACTGTGGAATACAACAATACAACAATTTGAAATCTAATGATGCTTTACCTTTTGTGTCATGCCAGCATAAAGTAGATAACCAGCTGTTGAATGAGCTAATCCCTTCGGTTTACCAGTAGAGCCAGAGGTATACAACATAAACAGATAATCTTCACTATTCATTTCTTCTGGTTTACATTCACTTGATTCTGATTGCATTTCCTTTTAAAATAGACACAATAAAAATGAAGTATTTAAACATTCTAAACAGTAAGCTGTTCTCTAATACCACTGTAGCAGGTATTATCTTTCAATTCCACCCTTTCCAAAAAAATCAGAAAAAAACATAGTTACCATGTTTTTCTTTAAATAAACAAAGAAGAAAAAGTAAGAGTGCATACACTGAAATGTCTCGACTGCTTTATTGATAATGATTTATTTTATGCTGAAAGCCTTTCATTTGAAGGTTTAACTACTAGCCCGGCAGATTAATTAGATATAAGAAGATGTGGTATGAGTGCCAATATTCAGAAAAATCGTTGTTTGTGGTACAAGCATAAAAATTTGCATGGGTACTCCCCTTATGATACTTGTTTGAAAATATCCGTTAGCCACCTTTTTTCTCAAAATGGCGGCCATTATCCCAATTGAAAAAGAAATATTCTTAACATAAAAGTTGACTTAGTAGTTCCATCTTAGTGGTTTGGGGTCGAATAGTACATTTGGTTTTTAAAGAGAAGCCAAATATATAAAATTAAAATTTTTTGAAGCTCCCAATATCATGCACCTATAGACACAGCTTCCTCTGCCTCATTTTTTATTTTATATATCTGAATTTTCAGTTATATTGTATATTCATTATTTTATTTGTCACAAGCTTACTGTTCACAACTCATATGGCAATACCATTTAATTTGTATATATTTCAAGATTATTTTTAAATTTTATCAAAAATACGTCATAACCAGCTTTTTCAAATTTTAGCTCTACAAGTTTAACTTTGTTTCGACTCTTCTACTTAGAATTTGATTTTCATATATTTTGGCCTGGAACATCACTTTTTTATTAGACATTGTTGGTCGAAAGCACATTTTTGTGCAGTTTGAAAAGAACTGTTGGGGTTTTCTCATCTTCGCTAGGGTGGAGAGGAGGGGATTGGATCATAATCCTTGGCTAGCGAAGATGGGGTTTTCTTTGAAACCGCTGAAAGAATTTATACATTTAGCAGTCTATTGAAATTGTGTAGATAAATATTATCAGAATGTCAAGTGTGAACCCATTGAAATCCAAATATCAAACTGATTGGAACAAATGTTGCCATTGTCAGACAGTCAAGAAAAAAGAAGTTCTAAAATCTCCGCCAACTCACTATTCGTGCAGCAAGGAAAACGATGGCTACTATATGATTGCAACAAACTATTTCCCCTCTTTCAAGCCATCAACCAACTTCCAATTATTTTTAGATCCTATCAGATTAGATGAAAGTGACAAATTGAGACGGAACAATGCCAATTATCACCAGAACTGAAGGTTATTCTTAAAAAAAAACCTAGCTAGACAGGACAAGGAAGAGGGCAGCTAGTAGTAAGAACTCTCCAGATGATGGACAAAGCATGGACAATGGGTCTTGAATGCAGCGAGAAACTCCCGCACCCGGAGGCGTCCTTCAGCTGGCCCCTAAACAAATACGTATACTAGTTCAGTGATAATGGACGTCATACTAAACTCCAAATTATACACAAGACACTCCGCTGGGCTTGATACGACCGCAGAGGTCGAACCCTGAACAGTTGGGGCAAGTATGGACACAACATTCAAGCTTGATACAGCTCTGAATTTGGATTGTGATTAAATATTTGACACAGCATAGGTTTCTGACACAGAATGAATGTGGTCTAAGAACTTAAAAATTTTTAATTTACCTATTATGGTCCAATATCCAAAATCTAAATACATGGTTAGATTCAGCATATTAAAGAACCCCATATATTCAATTTTTGTTGAAATCAAACAAAGTTTTATTTTGGACCCCAACTTGGACCAACTTGAAAACTGGGCCCATAATCAAAAATATAAACACATGTTTAGATTCCGCATATCAAAGAGCCCCAAGAATTTAATTTTTGTTAAAATCAAACTAAGTTTAATTTTGGACCCTTTGGACCTTAATGTAGACCAATTTAAAAAACGGGACCCAAAATTAAAAATTTAAATACACGGTTAGATTTTGCATATCAAAGAACCCCAATAATTCAATTTTTGATGAAATCAAACAAAGTTTAATTTTGGACCCTTTTGACCTCAATATAAACCAATTTGATAGCGGGGCCCACAAATGAAAAATCTAAATACATGGTTAGATTCTGCATATCAAAGAACCCCATATATTCAATTTTTGTTGAAATCAAACAAAGTTTAATTTTGGACCCCAATTTGGACCAACTTGAAAACTGTGCCCAAAATCATAAATCTAAATACATGTTTAGATTTAGCATATCAAAGAACCCCATATATTCAATTTTTGTTAAAATCAAACTAAGTTTAATTTTGAACCCTTTGGACCTTAATATAGACAAATTTGAAAACTGGACCCAAAATTAAAAGTCTTAATACACAGTTACATGTAGATTCGGCATAACAAATAAATAAATGTGGTCAAAGATTTTACAAATCTAATGCACCATACTGTGCACTTAAAGATCACTTCTTGAAATATTTGAAATTTGAAGAAAAAAAAAATATTTGAAGGATAATTCTTTTTAATTTCTGAAATCTGAAATGAGAAAAAATTGACCCCCACGATTTCTTTTTATCCCCCCCCCCCCCTTTTTCCCCAAAAAAATTCTTTCCCTCAAGATATGGTCATAATCTCAATTCAAATTTCCAATGGAGTTTGCAACCATAATTACCCATTTAAATTTACCATAGTGCTAACTTAATCTATTTTATAATAGAATTGAAAATATGGTGTCAAATCTTTCATACGGATTTATTTGTAAAAAAAAAGATAACCCCCCAAAGCAAATCCTAACCATCCCTTTGTGGTATGGAAACTTGTGGTATAATTTCAGAGAGATCCATACACTAACACACAAGTTATTGTGTGGAAACTAGAAAATGCTTATTTTTGGCCCCTTTTTGGCCCCTAATTCCTTAACTGTAGGTACCAAAATCAATCCCAACCTTCCTTTTGTGGTATTGAACCTTATGGTAAAATTTCATAGAGATCCATTCACTTAAACTAAAGTTATAGTGCGAAAACCAATGTGTCTTCGGACGACGACGACGCCAGCGTCATACCAATATACGACCGCAAAAATTTTTTGTGGTCGTATAAAAAGAGAAAAGATCCTTTCTTAAACTTTCCTTGCCAACAAAGGTCTCAATGCCGTCAACTTGGGCAATATCCTTCATCATAAATTAGTTCAATCGAAAAATACCTCCCTATTTTAAAGATCAGACTGTACCAATCATTTCTTATACCTATACCAAACCATTTGCATCTAAAATTTTCAATTATAAACACGTGTTGCAGGATCTCAATATTGACGACTTCAAGTTTAAACCTCCTGATTGCACCTGTACTAGTTCCCCATTCATATATAATCCTGCAGGCCACGTTATTACCGGTGACCTCAACATTATCAATAACACTTCCTTGCGAAATGTGTTATCCAAAGGTCCGAAATATCGTGAGCTTAAATCCATCAATTGGAAACACAACTTCAAAATACTGATGGATTCAGTCGAGGATTATGCCAGGCAATGGGTTAAACGCGAGAAAGAAGACGTAGATACTCTTTCCGAATGGATTAAGGCTGTGAGGTCGTTAATACAAATCAGAACTAAGAAACTGAATGGGTCTATCAATACCCATGCTACGTCATTTTTTAAAGACCCAAATGTTGCAAAACACTTGTCCTACCTCCATGACAAATATGTTGTTGTCCCCCCAGATAAAGCCCCAAACAACATCGTTTTTGTGTGTAAATCACATTACATAAACTGCTTCATAAATGAATTAGGTATTGACAATTCACTTGGAAACTCAACATATACCCCCACGACACTTACTAAAGAGGAAATCCTGGATAATCATAGGTCTGTTCTATGTTTCTTTGGTATTTCACCCAGAGATGAAGAACTGGATCTTCCATCACTGTATTGGATACCTAAACTACATAAGTGTCCTCACAAACAACGGTATATTGCTGGGTCTTCCAAGTGCTCCATGAAACCTCTTTCTAAATTATTAACATCAATTTTATCAGCAATCAAAGCCGGGTTCAAAGTTATTGTGAAACTGCCTTTTCTAGAGGTGGCGTGAATCAGATGTGGATACTAAAAAATTCCAAAGATCTTTTAGAGTACATACAATCTAAGACTCTTTCATCTAGCAACAGTATTAAAACATTTAACTTTTCTACACTTTACACAAGTATTCCCCATTCCAAACTAAAAGACAAATTAAAAGAGTTGGTATTGCTTTGTTTCATAAAAAAGAATGGCCAACGTAGATACAAGTATCTTGTCTTAGGGAGGGATAAATCCTACTTTGTTCAAAATCACTCTGATTCAAACAAAAAATTCTCTGAAACTGACATTATCAAGATGATTGATTTCTTGATTGACAACATATTTGCTACTTTTGGAGGGCGTGTTTTTCAACAAACTATCGGCATTCCCATGGGAACCAACTGTGCCCCTCTTCTTGCCGACTTGTTCCTTTATTGTTATGAGGCTGACTTCATAGAGGAACTTCGTAGGAAGAAAGAAAATAAGCTAACAGTATCCATTAACTTTACTTTCCGCTATATAGATGATGTTCTCTCACTAAATAATTCCAAATTTGGTGACTATGTTGAACGCATCTATCCCATTGAACTTGAGATAAAGGATACAACAGATACAGTTAAGTCTGCCTCATATCTTGAATTACATCTAGAAATTGACAATGAGGGTCGGTTGAAAACAAAACAAAAGACAAAAGAGATGATTTCAGCTTCCCTATTGTGAACTTTCCATTTCTATGTAGCAACATTCCAGCAGCGCCTGCATACGGAGTATATATCTCCCAATTGATACGATATTCCCTGGCTTGTATTTCCTATCATGATTTCCTTGATAGAGGGTTGCTGCTCACAAGGAAGCTATTAAACCAAGAGTTCGAAATGGTGAAGTTGAAATCATCACTTCGTAAATTTTACGGACGCCATCACGAG